GAGCTCAATCAATGACCGATTACAATCCTCACTGACATGCACATCATAGCACCTTGTGTGCAAGTCTAATAATTTTGTTCATTCCCTTTGCCCTTTTTGAAAGGATAGTTCATTTTTATGTGTCGGGATGGGCATGGTTTCGAATTGAATTGAATCAAGAATCGATGAAATTTTTATTTTTTATTTTTTTTAAATAATGAAATCATCAGAATTGCACCGAAAGATTCTCGTTTGGTTTGTTTTCTTTCCGTAAACAAAATTCAAAGTAATTAATGCAAATAATAGTACAAGTTTTATCGCTAAAACTTACTACCCAATCTTTGTTTGGCTGTGGTTTATAATCGGTTAAATTATTTTTATTTATATATTTTGTGAGATTTTCAAGTACTATTCACTTATTTAACATTTATTTTTATCTAGCTATAATTTGAACCATTTATAAACAACACCTAAACATGCTTTGATGCAAATGACAAGTTCTATTTTCATACAAAATATTGGTAATAAAAATCATTTGCCATATTAACAAATAAGCACATCTAATTAAAAATTCGACTAGGTTTGAGTCAGTTCGCAGTTCTAGGTATTAGAATCGAAATTGAACAAACCAATGAATTCTTGATTCTAGTAACCAAAGCTCTATATATTTAATCAGAATCGATCGATTTCATTTCTTTTATCTAGACCTACTTATATAAGTAGTTTGAACATTAGTGTCAAAACCATGCACTATTCTATAATATGTAACAATGACATTTTATGCACTGTATTTAAGATAAGAATCTGCTTTTGTATAAGATTTTGTACGTGTCCAAATTTGAAGTGTGTCATTATTTTATTAGTGTGATGTGACTATCGAGTCATTGACAGAGATTTTGAACATTTTCTATTGTTGTGATTAGGATTAAGAATAACTTTCTATTTTGGCATAAGGACCACAATTTTCCGGGAAAATGACGTAAATATAAATTACATTATTCACTAGTATTTTAATTTATAGGGGCACAAAAGTAAATATTGTTTATTTGTGGCGAAAATAGGAGTATGTGGTATGGAGTCCCAAAAAGATGGGCACATTCCCAGAAGAATATTACGGTCCATTCAATGTTTTGCTTTATTTGATAAAGACATCCTTCTTAATGAATAAAACTCCAATAATTCCAACAACTTTACAAATTGAGAAAAATAAATTTAGACACTTCATAAATTATACATTGACTGATTGACAAAATACATCAATTCAGTATTTCAATAAAAAACAAAATTAACTGAAATATCAAACAATTATTATGATTTGAATTGGTGCTCGACGCTGTTAAGCATTTAGTTTTTTCTTTTCCGCTTCGTAAAATACTTATTGACAAAATTGCACGAGTTATCACGTATAGAGTAGAATAATGTAATTTCCTCCTTTTATTTTTGCAGTTCTAGAAAACAAAAAGTTGAGACATAATTAATTCGTTGTTGATAAGATCGACCATTACTAAGAATTGACAATTTGAATTAGGTGAGATTGTGACTGGTCATAGTTTTAATAATTCTTTTTATGGTCACGGGAAAGGGATTTGTAGGAAAGAAATGGAGTATTAACCTTATCCAACAATCAAGCAATTAGAAGGGGTTCTTTGTGGGCATTACAAGATTAAGACGTCAAAAAGTAATTAATCTATTACTAATTATGATGATAATTATTTTATTTTATTATTTTTGCGTAAATTGATTGTTTTCAATCATCTTTACATCACTTATTGCCATTAAAATTCAGTAATTTTTTATAGGAAAAAGCCACATACACAGGTCCTTTTGCACAGGGGCTCTCACATAGGGGTGGACCCTAAATATGGACTCCATGTGTGGGGTTCACCCCCATGTGTGTGCGCCTGTACAGACCCTGTGCAAAGGGGCCTGTGCAGGTAGCACAGTCCTTTTTTATAAATGATTTGTGTTTAATTGTTCATCATATTATTAATCATAATCTTCCTTAATAAAAGAAATACAGATTATTAAGTTTATTGAACGATTACAGTAGTTATATTTATTTCAGGGAGTTGTTAGTATATGAATGAGGGGAGTTCTAGATATTTTTAGATTTAACTTAGAGGGAGTCAAAACATTTTTTTGAAATTTCAATAGGAATTTTAATATTGATACCGTGTTTTGTCAATGTTGATATTAATATTCTTTGTTTCAATTCTAAGTTATTTATACACATAATATTGTATGCTTCTTGGTGTTATGCACATTCCACTTGCATTGTTTTACGTAACTTACATATATTTTTTAATTGTCAGTTTTCTCTGTTTATCACGTGATATTGATGTTTCCACGTATTTTAGCAAACATGTTGACAAGATGTTGAAGTAATTTTTTAAGAATTGAGCCTTTGGGTGGATTGTTAATAGATTTTTTTTTTTTTGACTTTAAAATAAACCAAGGTCGGACTCACATAGTGTCATGTGGGGTCAAATGATCCACAAAATTTTTGCCTTTCATTTTTTTTGTTTCAAAAAATAATTATTTTGATATCTTTACGACCTATTTTGACGCACTTATAGAATGTCAAATGAAGTTGAAATATTGTATTTTTGAAGTACTCATGACTTAGTTTTTTACTCATTAGTGGTGTGATCAACCATAACAAAAAGTTACACATCGTAAAAGTAGGCTGTTCTAAACTAGTATTTTCAGAATTTCGATAATATGTTAATTTTCAAAATTCTTTGTAATCATATGTTATCCGAATTTACACTATGTCATATAGAAGTTTGTTTCGAGAATTATATCGTAGTCATATCAAATGGTCCAGACGAATATCGAAAATATTAAATATTCGTTAAACATATGTCTCAAAAAGAGACGTCTAACTCACATTTTTTTAAAAAAATATTCAATTATTTCACTAGCTTTTATTATTTTTGCACAATAAATTTCTTAATATAATTTACATCATTTTATTAGAAAATTTTACATGAAATATGACCTCAAAAATTTTGGGATCGTTACGGATTAAATGTAAGTTGAATAGTTTTGAATTATATTTGTTTTAAATTTGAATTCTATTTACTTCCTGTATTAAATTTGGATTTTATTTTCAATTCATTTACTTTTTACATTCAAATTGATTTACTCGCAACTAGCTCATCATTTGTTAACGAAATGGGAAACAACTATACCAGTAACAAAATTTATTTAATAATATTAATAATGGTGTAATTATACAACATTTTCAAAGTATCAAAATACAAATTAACTTATTTTCATTAATATTATACTTTTTTAAAAGTTATATTTTTTAATTTTCGACCTACATTACAAATAGTCTGGATTCGCCTCTAAAATAAACGATATTGTCACGAAAAGTCAAAGGGGTAGTTTATTAAGTCTCGGTTATTCCTTAGACAAAATTAAAGTAATTGTATTAATTCATCTAGAACATTTAGGTCACAACACATTCAATTAATATCTATGTTAAAACAATCACAAATGTTCAGATCAAAACAATAAATGAATAAATTACACCAAATATGATTACGAAGAAAAATTTCAACTGAAGATTTAAAAAAAAAAAAAAACCTCCTGGTAAACTTGTCAGTAAATGATCTGCTAGAAAAGTCAATTTACAATTAGTTCAAACATTTTGCTAGAACTCCTGGGGTCTCTTTTCCAATTTCAAAACTTTGAAGGCTTAGGCGAAGGTAGAATTTTTTTTGGTGTTTAATCAATGATCTTTTGTGTTTTGATCTATGGCTGAGGTAAGAGATAAATGGTTATATATTTGGTCTCAAAGTATATTCTCTTGACTAAATATAAGGCTCAACCAATAACAATATTTGGGATGAATTTAAGAATTAAAGATCTAAGGATTGAATCAAGAAATCAATACAATGTGTTTTAGATTTTTCAAAGGATTTATTTATAATGTAAAATAACGAGGCTTTAGTACATATAATCTAAAGTGTTTGAGGTTGAATATGATTAGAAAATTAGCAAAAATCGTGAACCTATGTTTCCCAAATAACACAACCACTCGAACACTTATTGAGGTGCCAAGTGAATAGTCTCTAAACAGTTGTCAATATTTTCATTATATTTTTCTTTCCTGATATCGGATTGAAATGATTTAAAACGTGTTGTAAAGTTAACTCAAAGGGATACAATTTTTTTAGAAATAATATTTTTCTACTACAAATGTTTTCTATGTGAAAAATGTATCACAACCTGTAACAGATAATTTGAAGCAAAACTTATGTAACAATTTGACACTCCTTTGACTTTTAATTGTATTCCATGATCATATGTGATCTTATTGGGATATCTTTCACTCCTCCAAGGACTATGCTACAAGTTTTTAACTATTTTGACTTTAATTACAACTCAACTAACTCCTGATTTTGAATACGAAAATTGACAATTACAAATTTAAAATTTGCTAATGTACTAATTTCAAATTTGGATCTAACTCTCTCCCACTCATTATGGATCAAAGTTAAAATAAGTTACTTTGATAGGGCAATAAAAATTACTTAAAAATATATTTAAATTAAAATTAAATTTTTTTTAATAATATTTAAACGAGTACCCATGAAAAAAACATTGATATTTTAATAATGAATTGATGGTTGACGTAGTATCAAAGTTCAAGAAAACACTTGAACTTGAGTTAGTATCACTCGATTATTAAAAATTTTACATGTCAGATTTTGATGGAAAAAAATAAATTACTGCTAAAAATAAAATGTAAATAAACACGAGATATGTAGGACCTAAACTCGGAGACAAGATAAAAAAAAAAAAAGAAAAAAAAGAAAAAGGAATTGGTGAAGGTAATTTTGTCATTTACTACATTTAAAAAAAAAATATGAATAATGTTATCTAGGTTAATGATAGGTTGAATAAAATGAAAATTAAATAATTCTACCTATCAACATTAACATTAACCCAGTCTAAATAGCATTATTAATTGAAGATGAGTGCAATCTGAGTCAGACACACCAAATAAAACGATCAATCAAAACAATAGTTATACACACAATTCACTGTACTAGGAATTTAGAGAGAGAGAGAGAGAGACAGCGAAACCAAGAAAAGTTCACACACAATATTGGAGTTGCACAGATCCCAGTATCTCTCTGTATTTCTCAATTTTCTCTCCAAGAACTCCTCCGAGATAGAGGATTTAGGATTCCCTGTTTTTTGGGCCCCTATACATAGCATTGCGTAAAGAGAAATCTTTATCTTTTTTCTATTTTCAAGAATTGTGGATATGCATGTCTATGTATAGTAGAATTGCATGAAGCGGACAATTTTTTTTTTTTTTTTTAATCTGGTTAAAGCGGATTTTGGGTCTTGCTACGATAATCAATCAGGATTATCTGTTGACTTTGCCCTTTATTATTTTTTGTACTTTTGAAATTTTAAGTCCAAGCTGAATTTTACGATTTTTGAATATGAGTATGTGATTTTTTGGGTTGTGCTTATCTTTCACTTTTTATTTTTGTTCGCCGTTGAGGGGTGGTTATTTAATGTGATTTTTTTCTTAATTTTAAATTTGGTATTCGGTGCTCATTAACTGTATTCCAACTTGATTATATGGAAAAAGGTTGATTATTCAATGAATGGCATTAATGAAAAGTTGGTTTTCATTTTCTGGTGAAAGTGAGAGTATATTCTTACCCAATACTTTTTTTTTTAATTATTATTATTTTACAGCTACTTGCTGCGAGTTTAGTGAAATTTGAGATATTTTGAGCTTTGATTCTCTTCTATACAATATTGGCGTGAATTTTGAGTCTCTGCATCTTTGAAGAAGTCCTTGATTGAAAATGAGAACTGTTATTCAGTCTGTAAGACAATTTAGGTCGGCTTTTCGGTATAGACGGAACACCTATGATGGATTTTCAAAAGGTCCAGATTATTGGTGCAATAAAAATTTCCGGTCTGCATACAGCCTATCAAGAAAAGCAGATGTTTGTGAATGTAGACAACCACCACATATGATCTCCAGAGTCATGTTTGCTAATGCAGCTAATGTTACTCATCGAGGTTATGTATTATGATGAATGTGCAAGCTTATTCTTCTGATACGAGTTTCTCATATTTCTTGGTTTTTGTTGATTGCTTCAGTCTCAGAATTAAATCAATCTGGACCTCTTGTGGAATACGAACGGAGGATCAATGCTGGTGAACTTTTGGATGGTGATACTAGCCAGGTATGGGGATCATTTTAGTCCTGTGTAATTGTATTAGATCTTCTTTCGTAATTTGGCGGAACTTATGATTGCATTGGATTAAGTGATGGTGATTATTTTGGTTGAATGTGATGGAATTAATCTTCATTTTTTTCTTTTATAAATTTGGTGGACTTTCTGATTATGTTGGATTAGAAAATGCAAGTTTTACAGTGGCTTTAATGTGGATAGTTTGCTTAAATATGCATAAAGCTTGAATGAATTCTTTTCAAGGTTGTACTCAATAATCCTAGTAAATGAGAATCTATTCAGCAATGAAATTCTTTTAACCTGCTAAAATTAATGGGAAAAAATTGTGACACATTTAATTGAATGAAATGAATGCTTGAGCACCATTCAACTAATTTTATTAATGGAGAAGCTATAAATTTTGGAGTATAAAATCTACTTTCAATGGTTAGCAAATGATATCTCATATCTGTTTGATGAAATATTTTGTGCAAGGTCTCTTTTTCTATCATTTTTTTAACCTTTTGAGGATGTGCTGATAATGACTTTGCAGTTGGGCTCCTTAGCAGAGCTTCAAAGACTTTATGACGAGCTTGTTGAAAAGGCTAATGCTTGTAGGTTGGATCGATATGCTACTTCTGAGAAAGCTGGGAGGTAAATATTTATCACTGGTCGATATCTGGGCACCACGAATCGCCTTTGATCATCAACACGTTCCCTGTTCTCATCAATAGCTAGCTTTATGTCTTCCACTTCTAATTTATTTATAATACATCTTTATAGTTTCTGCTGTGAATTTTCAGGAGTAGATGGTTGTGGTCCCGTTTCATACCACAAGCTTCATATGCACCGGTGAAAGGACTTTATCTCTACGGAGGAGTTGGCACAGGCAAGACTATGTTGATGGACCTGTTTTTTGATCAATTGTAAGCATCAGATTTATCTAATCTTGCAAATGTAATTAAACTTTATCTTAGCTGTGTGCATTGATCCTAATTCAATAGATTATATAAGCACTATGTTTTGCAATCAATATTCTTTTACATCTTCCCAGGCCTTGCAACTGGAGGAAAAAGAGGATCCACTTTCATGACTTCATGCTGGATGTCCACAGCCGTTTGCAAGTATAAATGCTATTTTGTGTCCTCTATTGCTAATTTCCAGTAGATACATTGGGATGAAATGATGTTCTTGAACATGCATCTTACTCAACCAGGCCCTACATTCAGGCTACTAGATGATTTCATCTGCAGTAGAAGAAGTGTTTGGCACTTACATTAGAGACTTGCTTTTTCTTCACCGCTTTTTTCCCCCTTTATTGAACTTTTGGACTGTAGGTCGTTCTTTGAGTGGTGGATTGATTTATGAATGATAATTGAACAATTTATTATTATAGACTGTATTGCATTTATTTCTTGCTGGCTTTGCCCAGAAATAGGCAATATGCTTGGGTACTATTATAGAACTTCCAAATCGTTGGTTGAATGTGAGATTATTGCAGAAGCACAAGGGTGTGGCAGATCCTCTAGAAGTTGTCGCTGGAGAGATATCGGATGAATCTCTTTTGTTATGTCTTGATGAATTCATGGTATGTCAAGAGTTGGGCACAGTTCTTTATTTCTGTTTCTTCTCATTTAAGTGCATTTTGTCTTTCTTGTCCGAACATGTTAATCACGCTCCAAGATCAACCTTTAGGTGCTTCTAATAAAAGATATAGCAGGAGTGCCCGGTTTTAGTCATTGGACATTGTATCAGCGTTCTATTTAATTTCTTCTTGGCTGTTTATTTTTTCCATCTCGTCTTCCTTTTTCTCAGTCAATTAAAATCCACAATTGGCTCTGTTGTCTTATTAGGTGACCGATGTAGCTGACGCCTTGATCCTAAACCGTCTATTTGGACATTTATTCAGCGAAGGAGCTGTAAGTTATTTTGGCATGCCTGTTTTGCATTCTAGCCCTATATATTTATTTAGGCCTGTTATATAGCATAGTAACTGAGGATGTTGTGATGGGAAAATTGATAGATTCTTGTTTCGACTTCAAATCGAGCTCCAGATAAACTTTATGAAGGGGGACTACAGAGAGATCTTTTTCTACCATTCATTGCAACTCTGAAGGTATGTGAATGCCTGTGATTTCAGAGTGATTAGCAGCATTGCTAACATATTTGATAAGGTGGATTAGATAATACTTAACGATACTAAAGTAGAAAAAGAACTAAAACTCATGTCTATTGCACTGTCCTATACCGTGTAACATGCTGCTCGAAAGGTGTGCATAGCTTAAAGGCGAAAGTTTGCTCATTAATTGGCTATGGGAAGATATGACTTGTAGTTGGTTCAGTCTGAATTTGGTCGCATTGCATTTTGTTAACACAATATGGAGAAATTGCCCATAATCCACATGTTTTTCCCGAGATATCTTTTGCATTTTAGCCAACTTAATTGACCCAGTTAATAATCTACAACTTTCACGTAGGAAAGATGCGCTGTTCATGAAATTGGTTCGGCTGTGGACTATCGGAAAATGACTTCGGTGCGGCTTTCATATCCCAGTATTTTGAGTTTGGAAATAGTCTTCCTCTTTATATAGAGTACATTTCTATATTATTTACCATTCACATAAATTTATAAGATTTCCGAACTGATTTTAGGCACAGCAAGGTTTCTACTTTGTTGGCAAAAACTTATCCATCCTTCTTGAGCAAAAATTTCAAGAATTAGTTGGGGAATGCAAAGCTGTTCAACAAGAGGTGGAAGTCATCATGGGAAGGAAATTGCTGGTATATATACGATCTAGGATTTGCTTTTGTTCTAATGAAGTGCACACTTGTCTCTATACTTAGATTGACTTTTATTTTATATCTTGACATGTGAATTCTTTTACATCTTAGATTCCGCTGGGTGCCAATGGATGTGCATGTTTCCATTTTGAGGAGCTATGTGATAGGCCTCTTGGAGCAGCAGACTATTTTGGTCTATTCAGTAAGCCATTTCTTGCTTTGTGCTTCTCTGAGAATCTTCCACGCGATAGAAATTTAACTAGGTATTGTGTAACAATAGAGATGAATATTTCTAATCAGGCTTAAAGGCGTGGGATTCCATTGAACTCTGTCCAGATTGTGGCGGCTACTTTAAATTACTTGATTGTATACAAGAACCAAGCTAATTTGTCCTGATTGTGGCTAGTACTTTAAATTACTTTGATAGTATGCAAAGACCAAGCTATTTTGGCATGTTTGTTAAGACGAAATGGATAATACTGAACAGAATTAAAGAAGAAAAAGAAGCTAAAATCCTATTTATTGTCCTTCAATCATATCCAATAGTCAAAGTGCGTATATTCTAATTGGATTTTTCTCTCAAGATCCTTGGGCTACTAAGCCTGCTATCATGAGTCAGATGCTATCTGTGTTTCTCCAGTATTTTTTTTAATTGGTTTTACAATGTGCCATGCATTTTTTATTTTTTTTGTGTATTGTACGCGCAACACCCGCGCGCACACACGAACAATTATTTTACTGTATATTTACCAATTATTCTTTTTACCAGAAAAATTTCATACTCTGGCTTTGGAAGGTGTGCCAATTTTCGGGCTCCATAATCGGACTGCAGCATATCGGTTTGTTACTTTAGTTGATGTTAGTCCTTTACCACTTCTAGAAATTTTTTTTATTTTTTATTTAAGTTTGACAAGTTGATAAACTGACACCCTTTTGGATTCGAGATTCAAGAAATGATCCCTAGTATTTATTTGTCGTGATCATGGAATTGCTGAAGTGTCAAATTTAGAAAAGATATTTTTCTTGAAAATATTCTGTCTGGATCGACATTTATACTTGATGTGTACAAATTTTCTCATTCTCTTCCATAATATGTTATAATATATATTTCGCGCTATGCTTTTACAGGTGATGTATGAAAATAAAGCTAGATTGCTATGCACTGCTGAGGGGACTCCTTTTGAACTTTTTGAAAGAATCGTGACAGTATCTGATGCTCAACAAATGGCACCCCGAACCTCTTCAAGATCGAGAAAATCCGATGATTCTAACATTTGTGTGGATAATGAATTAGGCTTTGCAAAAGATCGCACCATTAGTAGGTAAGAGAGTTTCACACTCTTTTGGTTGAAAAGAACTTTGGACACGCTCTATGTCCTTTTTCTACATTTAGCAAATGATTGTTACTTGAAATTATAAACCACGTGCATGATGTTGTGCCGTTACCTCATTGTATTTCCAACTAAAATTCTTTAGCAATAACGTCTACTAAGACTACACCTTGATATGCTGATTCAATCCATCGACAAAAATGGTGAATGGACAATCTTGTAAATTTGGTCTTTTAAGTCAAATGAGTCCGCTCACCATCTCTCTGTGCACGAGCACTTTCTCCATGCTTGCCTGAGATGAAACCTTTTTCTTTCTTAAACATGCAATGCTCTGTTGCACCAAATTTTTCCGTTCAAATTGTATAGAAAACGGTAATCTGTCAAGATTCGAGTACATTCGATCCACAAGAGCAGTTGTCTGAACGATGTTCTGTCCGATGCAGGCTGACAGAGATGAATAGCAGAGAGTATTTGGAGCAACATGCTGCAATATTGGCAGAGAAGCTGGTCGTGCAGGAAAACGATAATGAGAATGTCCTACAGGCATAGCCCTGAATGAGTGAAGTATTGTTGTCTGTAAAATTATGCAATTACATAGCATAGTATGAGGCTTAGGAATCTGGTTCGATTTTTGGCAGAAACTCCATAAATGAGAGGATTGAGGCTGATCATCGTCTGGTTGGAAAAAATAAATAAATGAGTACTCGTCATGTCTCTATTTTAATAAACAGTTGTAACAATATTTATCAAATAAGGGCATTTTCAAGTTAAGTTCCAATTGACATTTGATTATGTTGTCTCAAGATTGTGCTGCCGCCTTTTATTTTGACAACTAAACTGAAAAATGGATTTTGAATCTTGTGACCCTTAACACTTTTACAGTTCGATGCTTTAGAGATATGAGACGTTCTTTTATACCGAAATTTTCTCCGATGACAGTGACATGCTATCTTGGTTGTTGTCTTTGTATTTTATATATAATAGGGAGTTGGAGACAAAGGCTATTGTTTTGAAGTAGACCATATTTTGTACAATCGTTTGAACAAACATTGAGGTTAATTTTGTTTATCTAATCTAAAATTGTTATATTTTACTGAAATAATTTTTTAAAATTTCAAAACAAACATTTTTCAATTTTCTATTTTAAGAAATATTTTTTCCAAATCAAATGCGTTTTCAACATCTTAAAACAAATTCTCAAAATTTTAAAATTTAAAATAAACTCAAACGTGAACCTTTATTTTCTAGCACTTCTGATTCCATTCTTGATGATGTTAGAATCTCTCGGCTCTACTTTTTTCAGTTTGAGAGTAGCTATCTACTTCACCAGCTGGATTATTGATTTTCGATTGTAGAAATAATTTGATAGAGTAAGAGATCAAACATTGAACTCGAATTAAAGATTAATAATCTATAATTCGAATCAAGAATCCGAACCAAAAATTGATACAAACACAAACAACATTTTCAACCATGTCTCGTATACAGTTTCTCCTTAGAGAAGATATATAGCTAATTTAAACGAAAGAAAGCACACTTAGCGCTGGAAGGAAATAGAATAGGAACCAGTATTGGGATCTTTGACAGCTTTGAAGTTGTCAGTGCTCATCCCAAAACGCCCCAGAATGCTATTTCCCATTTCTTTCAATTTCCCTACCAATCAACAAAATCCAAGCAAGAGAATTGTGAGAGAGCATGTATATGGAATCCGAGTTCCACTCTATATGAGCCACGTACACAATAAATTATGACTATATCATAACAAAACCATCTCAGGACACACATTAGCTACATAAAAATAGGGTTGTGCAAGCAATAGCAAACTGACTGCCTCAAATTGAGAAAATCTAACTAAAGAATAATGTAGCAAGCAAAAGAAGGACCAAATATAAAATGTTTGGACAATAAATCTAAAAAGACATTTTACAAAATAATGAACACAAGCAGCAGCACAAGTTAATGGTAATATATACATGCATACAATATCCTTACAAGTATTATAATGTTCAAATATTGCAAGTGCAGGCCAGTAAATGCTTCTGGGGTTCTTTATAATGCACCAAATGCACACATTAGGAAACCATTTAAAATTTACATGAATGAAATCTTAAGATAGATTGATGTGGAAAAGAATACTTTTATGCTCTCATACCAAAATATGTAAATGATACGCTGGCTCATAATACTTGAATAAAATTTCATAGGATGTATATTCTTAAGCAACTTGAATTTCTTTTGAATCACATCAATACTTGCTTAATCCGGGACAACCTGAGACCACCAATTTACTTTGTCGAAGTGGGCAAATACAAGCTGATGAAGTACCAAATTTCATACTCAGCATTAAAAAGTTAAAATGGCACATCAGGATATGTCTACAGAATAAATATCTCAAGATTGACAAATTATAGACAAGCAATCATATGTCTTGTTGCTCAAAGTACTAACAATTAGATCTCAAAATTTTTGGTCAAATGAACTAGGTTAGAGGCGAACTCAGAGGGACTAAAGTTTAGGAGCTCTCCTGTCCATGTTAAAGGAATAAAAATTGATTAAAAAGCATGGTCCTCATCTAAGTAGGTTTTTGACAAGGAAATCCATTCTGAATTATTAATGCTTTCAAGACTTAATTCAGGAAACATCAGCTTCTGTATCTTAAATCCTTTTATAGTATATACCATTGAAAAAACCAGTTGCATGCACACATTGCAGATAAACTTTAATCTTGCTCTCCAAAAAAGAAAACAAAAAAAGGAACAAAAACTCAAAAGAAAATCTTGTCCTCTTAACCGGTCAATTTTTCTTGTAATATCATATTTTCTATTAAATAGACAACCCAAACAATCTGATTTTGAAAATATCTGGCTCTTGGTTAGATCATTGATAGGCAACAGGAGAGACACAAACTTGGGTTGGATTTACCAACTTATAGAACTCAAACAGACCGTTGTTTTGAGTGATCTAGAATGGACAACTTAAAATCTAGTAAGCTATATATAATATTCATGGATAGGAGATCCATCCAATAAAATAAACTTGAGTGAGTGCGCATTTGCATCTGCTGTGCACTGAGAAGCCACACCAACAAGGTGCCATGACTTCCAGAGGCAGATAACGAACCACATTGTGATACCAATAGTTTAGAGACACAGATCCAACACAAGGGTTAGTCAGTGCGAGTGAGCATTTGCATCTGCTGTGCACTGAGAAGCCACACCAACAAGGTAACCTGTCTTCCAGAGGCAGATAACGACCCACAGTGTGATACCAATAGTTTAGAGACACAGAACTAACACAAGGATTACTTCACCCAGGAAGGTGGAAAACAATCACAGTATATGTACAGATTTAACTTATTTGAGCTCACCGATCATCTCTTCCTTCATCTTTTCACGCTTTTCATCTGCTAATGGTTTTAGCCGAATGATGGTTCTCCTAGCTTGGTCATTTGACTGATCCAATTCCAAGATTTTTGTCATGTCTGCAAGAGAAGAAAAATGGAGATGGAGATAAGAAAGCAATGAAAAGCGAAGAAACAAATCTAATACAATTACACGACTCATTAGTGACATTTGCATTGGACACTGGATTTATTTATACACAAGCGATGAACATGAAACCAGACTCAGTTTGCTCATCTAAACCTCCCACAATGCACATGTCTGAGTGTATACCCGCAGTCACTGGGAGAGGGGCAGGGAAGCCAAAAGGATTAAATGACACAGCAAAGAGAAGTAACAATAACTGTATCCAGCAAGTAACAATCAATAGTTTTGTCCAACTTTACCAGCAATAGCCTCTTCATATTGTTCAAGCTTTTCACGTGCCTCTGCTCTTCTTAGCAGAGCTTTTATGTAAGTAGAATTTAGTTCTATTGCCTTGGTACACTCCTTGATTGTTTCTTCAAATTTTCCCTGCACACCAGTAGAATCTCCAATATAAGATTAACAACGCCTTCATATGCATCAAACCAGAAGGAGAGAAACTTAAAAACAAAACAGTGAAACTGTCAATTATATTTGATTAGTTAACGCTAGCGATGAATAAGCTTCCAAACCTAATTCCACTCACACCCAGCAAGAAATAACGAAAGAAGAAAAAACTAATTTTTTTCTGCCCTATCTCAGTATCTCTAAATCTGCAAGGAGGAGGAAGGATGAAGGATGAAGGAAAGGCACATGTACAGTATAGAAAGGACAGTAGCACTAGAATAAAAATAAATTCAAACTCACGAATCATGATGTAGAGCAAAGAAACTGACTTCTTTCCTTTCCAACATCCCACTTTTAACACACGAAACTGCGCCTAAAATTAAATGATCCAAAAACCAGAAAAAGGGCTTTAACAAACATCCACTTTGGTCTTCTTCCGAGAAAACCAGAGCACCCTTTTTCGCTCCGCATTTAAATGAGATAGAAGAAAATTGCATGTGGATTATCAAGAGATGACAGCATAATGCAATGGGTTTAATTCTAGCAGTCAAATACCAGCACCATATCATTCTTACAGAAAGACCAAACATAACTGTGGACTTCATGGCTTATCCCAGTGTGGTGTGAGCAGACTGAGACAGATGGATATACCGTAAAGTTTTCCATGCCATGATTATAGGCTCTGTCCCAAATAAACCCTTAAAAACTTGTGCAACTAAAATGTTTGGGAAAAAATATTTTTATGGTTAAGTAGAGCAGATAATTTGAGTTGATTTGAGTTTCTTGTGAGAACCTAACAAGAGAACAAGACCAAAGCCACCTGAATTAGGTCCATTTTTTCTCAAGGTCCCACACTAATTAATGTTTTCAAACTCCTGAAAAATAGCAAGTTCGAACAAATTTCACATAGAAATTATTACTATGAAACCCATATCACGTTCCCATTAGAGACAGGATAAAACAAGAAAAAGGTACAAAAACGAGAGTCAAAACAGTTTTCTAAAATGTCTCTCTTTGCTCACCCACCAATTTAAGATGGTTATCATGAAGGACAAAAGCACCACATGCATGTTGAGTAACATGCTTATTATCAAGCAATATTTAAGATGCTTTATCAAGAACAGAGTGTTGGACACATCAGAGCTCTGATATCACAGATCTCAAGTGCTTACCATCATAGAAGAATAAGGTAATTGAAAAAGCACAGAACATAAAATATCAACCTTGATAAGAACATACCAGTTTGGAGAAACAAGCGGCTCGATTTGCATGGCAAATAGAACGTATTTCAGCAGAGTAGGGCCCATCTGGTGCAACTTGTATCGCGAGTTCATACTTTAACAATGCTTCTTCATATAGTGCAGATTTAAATAAAGAATTGCCCTCAAGTTTTGCATCATTTGCTTGTACCAAGGCTTTCTATTTATCAAAATGTGAAAAGAATCAAAAGGAAGATAATAGAAAATCGTACTGACTATTGTTATCAACAAGGTGAATTAAAAAATAAAACAGAACGAAACTCCTTGAAACCCATGATCACAAATTTAAAGAAGGAATCAAATAGGCATTAGATCAGAGACGGATTTGGGGGGGTAGCCCAGTCCAGTCCCAGCCCAAGTCCAAATTGTTTGGGAATTTTTTAATTTTTTCTTTGTACTAGCCCGGTTAAAGATTCACACAGCCCGGTTACTTCTTTATTTTTTCTTTGTACAAGCCCAATTTTTGAACCCACCATTTTTTTGAAAACCCAACTGCTAATGTTTTTCTTTGTTTTTAAAATCAAATAACCCAACCCAAATCTCAAATCCCAAATTCCAAATAGGCATTTGTTTAGAGTTCAACCCTCGTAATTGGCTCAAATTCTTATCTTGTCATTCTACAGGCCCAGCCTACAGAAGTTTTGTCTCTTTGTCCGTAAATTTTCTTCTTGACTGGTTCAGTTGTTTTTGTAATTCATAATTTTAGGCCCTTAGTTCTATTTTTAATTTTTTCAATATACCTTAGGCAAGGCAATGGGCTAAGAACCTGTGAAATGGATTGCGGACCCATCAGTTGGTGGAGGGTGTTTTTTTATTTTGGTTTT